GCGCGAATGGAATGGCGCTAAAAATAAGGCAGCAGCTGGCCTGTCCACAGCCCTGTCCCGGGAGGGGCGGGGGCCCTAGTGGTCTTGGGCAGGAAGGCCGCGTCCGGCCCAGGGGCGAGGAGGCTGCGGCGTCCGCAGCCTTGGCTGGAAGGCCTGGGAGGCCGCGCTCTGTGGGCCCCGGGCCCTCCACTCGGGCTGGGTCGCGGGCCTGGACGGGGACTGTCCAGAGGCATCCGAAAGCCGGGCCAACTTGCCTGGACGTTAACAAGGCGGAAGGGCTGGGCGCTGAGGTCCTGCCCGCCCGGACGCCAGAGGGAGCCGGGCGCCAGAGGAGGACAAGAGGAACCCTCCAGGAGGCCGGGCGTCTCCGGAGACCAAAGCGCTGGGGGACCGGTGGAGGTCTGCCCCACGCGCTGCTCTGAAGGCTGCTGGGGCGGGTGGCGCTCGGCCTTTCAGCTCCCTGCCTTCCCACAAGTCCCTTCCCGCGCGCGCCCCACGGCCCTGCCCGCCCTCCCGCGTCAGCGCCCCAACCATCAAGCCAGCAATTGAAACGTTTCCAAAACGGGCTATTTATTTGCTCCCAATAAATCGATCGGCGGTGATTAAGGAATCGATGTGGCCTGGGTGGGCAAGTCGCTCGCGGGGAGGGATGGGGGCTTTCGCCCAGCGCCTGCAGGGAGGCCGAGGGCGGGCGCGGGCCTGAGGGAGGCGTGTCCCGCCTGAGCCACACCCGAGGACCCAACACCTGGGTGCGCAGGCCCCGGCAGGCCGCTTTCCCTCGGGCGGAGAGGGGCGCGCGCCCGCCGCCTGCTTTCCTCGGCCCCTCTCGCCTTTCTTTCTCGCGCGCCAGGGAGGCTGTGGCTGCCAGCGGCTGCCGAGCTGCTCAGAGGCTTTTGTTGCTCCTCGGCCGGCTGAATGGGGATTTTGTAAAGCGGGACAGATAAAAATGAGCAGCATCATATTGTTTGACAGAATGATCTCGCATGATGAAGTGTCGGCTCCGAAGGGGGTGAAAATGGTGAATTCCTAAAAACCCAGCCCTAGGCTCCTCCTCGAGCTGCCGGTAGCCTGGAGGGACCCAGCGGACAGCCGGGCCTGGCCGCATCGCTCCAAACGGTGTCGGAAAGACTCTGGCTTTCAATGCCAAGTCATTTTTAAGCCCCGATCCCGTCCAGGACCTTTCTCCTCGTGGATGAAAAGAACAATTTTCGAGAGAAAGGCTCGTTTTGATTAAATCTGACATGCTGCTGATAACTCCATGCTAATGTGAAATAATTAACATAATAGCCATAATTAAAAGCACGCTAACAATGCCATAAATTTATCACACAATTTTACTAGCTTTCTGCCCCTAACTGCTCTCTCATCGTTAATTAAACGTGTTGCCTTTTACAGAATGGATGTTTATACATTTCCAATATAAATAAATTCGAAACCATCCTCTCTCTCTTCCTCTTTCTCTCCTCCTTTCCTTTTGGTCTCTCGCCATTTACAGTCACGCCTTGGCGTGGACCCTGAGTGGCAGACACCTTGAAAATAAATGAAGTTTTGAGATGCAAATCCAAACAAGAACACTAAAATAGCCTCTTTTTTTTCCACCCCGAAAAGATCCGGAGAGGTATGGGGGGGGGGGGGGGGGGGGGGTAAGAGAGTTGAAAATTCCCCGCTTTGGGAAATGGAAATAATCTGAGTGGGTTGGGGCCTTGGGTATCACCTCTGCCCTTTCCCACCTTCCTTGGTGGCGGCTATCCAGACAAAGAGGCCGGTAATAGTTTAACAAATCTATGCAGATTGTCAAAAGAAGCAGACTTTGATTGTTGTGGGCGCGGGGGTGTTGGGGAGAAAGGAGGGGTATTTTTCTAATAGCCCCACCCACGTTTTGCTCCCTCTTGGACACAGAATAACTGCTCTTGGTGGGGGACGCGCCCTTCACTCCGCGGAACCTGGTCCCAACTCCCCGGATTGTAAGAAAATTGCACCCGCGCGCGGGCGTGATGATTCTATCTCACATCGCGCCAACGATTTATTCAAGTCACTGGCACTGTCTCTGACTTAAAAGAAGAGAAAAGAGGTATCTGGGTTCACTTGGGCCTGGTGAGGGGTAGGTGGGCAATTCCCGCCTTCCGCACTCTAACCGTGCCCCTCCTCCAGTGTTGACCACCTAAGAACCCAAAATGGGCTGTAATTAATTTCCCTTTCTCCATCATAAATTTTTCTATCCATTTCTTCCCTCCCCCATTCCCCCGCCCGCGACGCACACACTAAATCTCCCCTCCCCTGGAAACGTCTCAATTTCCTTCCTATCGATCCGGACTCCACTCTTCTTGCCTCCTGTTGCTAGAACCTAGATCCCCACTCGCCCCACCCCTCACTCCCACCGCGTCCAGGTGGCTTTCCCAGCGGGGTACCACGTACTCTGCCCGCTCCAGGAGAAACGGAAGGCGTTTCATTCCATTTTCCTTTGGTTGTAACATTTCAAACATTTGAGCAGGTGAGGCAGCTGGCTGCCATCTTCCTTTTTAAATCTCTCCTGGGAAGTTCGCTTGTTGAGACTCAAAGAGTCACTCAAACTCGTAACTGTGTGTGTGTGTCTACTCATTCTTCCTCTACCTCTCGAAAAACCCCTTGAGACTCAAAAACTTTTTATCCACATACACCCTTTTCCCTTCCCTTTATCACATTTTCTTCCCCCCCACTACATGTGTCTCACTTTCTCTCTGTCTCGCTTCCTCCATCTCTGTCCTACAGTTTGGCGGTAACTGACGACCTGTGGGCTTTTAGCTGCAAACTGCAACTACGCGGCAAACAAATTTATTTAGCCCGGCATCTAGCCGGTCTCCGGCAGGACCCTGCACAGTGTCGGGATCGGACCCTTTCGCTGGGGCAGCCTCCTGCGTCAAGGCCAGCAGGAACCTTCCTGTCTCCCTTCCCGGCCGCCGCTTCGCCTCCTTCCTGCCCCCGGAGGTTGTGCGGGCGCTATGGTCCTCCTGGAGGGAGAAAGCCGGCGGCCGGTTCCTGAGCCGAGAGTGGCCACGGAAAAATCCTCTGCCTCGGCTGGAAATCGATATTAGGCCGGCGCGGGCGCGGGACGTCGGGGCCGCAGCCAGTAGGTTGTGCACGTCTCATCATTTAGCTAATCGAGTCGAAAAGTTTCTGTAAAGGCCGGACCCAGCATCAGATGGTAACACTGATTGAACAAGAGATTAGCACAATAGATCTCTAACCGAGGGGAAGCGTTGCTTTTCACGGTACGCGCCGTAATTAATGGTATGAATCAATTAATTTGACTTTTATTGTGTTGAAGGAAAAAAGTGCAACAAATGGAACCGGCAGCTGGGAGTTGTTCATCCTCCACCCCCTTCCCCAGGGAGGTTCCAAGGAGACACCGGGGAATGGACGGATCAGGCCCGGCCGTGGCAGAGGGAGGGTAGGAGGCAGCGACCAGCGGCGTGGAGGGATTCCAGAGAGCTAGCCTCGGCGGGCGGCAGAATCGAAATTAGGCTCATTTGGAGACTACTTCGAGACCGGTGAGGGGAGCCCTGTAGCCACCATCCTCCGGCACGCGTCCACACTTACTTGTCCACGCGGGCCAAGCCACCAAGGCCGCGGCAGGGCCAGCGCTGCGCCCCGCGCCCCTGCCTCTAGGGCTGGGCAACCCAAGCAGAGCAAAGGAAGTTCCTGAATGTGTAAATTTCAGGATTTTCTTTTCTTTTTTTTTTTTTTTTTTTTTGGACCTTCTGACCCTCCTTCGGTTGCTGAGGCAGTTGCAACCGCGAACTCTGCAGTTCCGGGCGGTGGCCAGCCAGCTCAGCCCGGGTCGGTTTCGCGGAAGGCTGTCTAGACGGCATGGTAAACGGTTCGAAGCCTGCGGGCCACAAAGCTGTGAAGCTACAGAAATCAACTCTGAGATGCGTTTTAGGGCCGGGTGCAACCTTGGGATCATTTAGATAAAGAAAAACCGTGGAGGTTAGCGGGCGTCTCAGGATAGAGTCACCACACCCCACCCTGCTCCCAGCCTCAAGTGAGTTAGTATTCTATCCGGGGAAACTGTCTAATGAAGATGAAAGTCAATCTGTGTGTCTCAATGCCTGTAATGAAGCAGGTTTACAGATTTTTAAATTTTTATTTTATTGAATTATTTTTAGTGTGTCTAGGCCAAGGAAAGAGGAGATCGTGGATGGAGAAACAGACTGAGGGAATCGGAAGCACCACTGTCCATCCGGAATTAAATCCACATCCCAGCATCTTCTGCAAATATTTCACTAATTATTTCCTCTCGGAACTCCTCCCCTCGTGCTCCTTCCTCTGGTGAGGCCGGCGCTCCCCTCCCAGGCCGCAGCGTACAGACAGGGATTGGGTTACGTGTGCCTGCCACACTAGGCACAGGCTCTTGCGGCTCCCAACTAGGCGGCCTAAATGCAGAAGGAAAGAGGTAGCGCATCGCGGATTCACGGGGTCAAGAGCACTGACTTTCCTTGGAGGTGTGAGGTCCACGCATCCCAGCCACGCACTTGGGGGTCGGTTTGTGGTGCCTCCCCCTCCAGTCCCAGTGAAATCCCCACAGTTTTTCCTACCATCACTGACTTGCCTTGCACTCCGCGTGCACTGGCCACACATCCTCGCCTCCTCCAACAGCTCCGCCGCTGGTTTCCTTGGAAGTTAAATCTTGGAGGATTTGTCTACACCTTAAGAGGACAAAATCCACTTTAGTTGGCAGCAACGGAGAGCCCAGCACGCTGGCATGCCCAAGACTGCCCAGGTTCCCCCGAGGCCATGCCCACCGCCCGGGAAGTCACCGCCCTCAAACCTCTTGTTTCTTCAGCCGTCCCTGGGCGCTGCGTCTACCTGGAGGCACCAGGCCTCTTCCCGGATCCACTCGACTTACCCGGGCTGCTGCCAATGCCGGCTCCTTCCCCAGCGCCTCATTTCCGATTTTTTCATATGCTAAGTCGTTTAACAACTCCAAGTAGCCAGTTATGGCTTCTTTATTTATAGGGTCCCTGTTATTTTACGTCGTTTTTATTTCTCTCGGCAACTATTCTAATAGATTAATCAATAGCCATTTTCTGACCTTCGGGAACCCCAGCTGATGCTGTTTGTGGCCGCATGAAAAAATACATACAGGAAAACACGCTCGCATCCAGCCGGGAAAGAGCAGGCAGGACCTAAGTGGTTTGGTTGAGGGAGGGGGAAAAAGACATCTCAGCAGGTGTCTTCCCCAGAATGAGCACTGAGGCCAGAGGGGGATCTGAAGTCTAATTAGCAGGAGGGAGCCGGGTGCGCTGCTCTTACTCTTTAAAGCTAAAAACAATAAAACAAAAGGCAAAACAGAGACTAAGTTTTGCTTTTCAAAAGACGGTATGGGAACCTCGTTCTAGGTCGCCTGTCCCTGTCTAAGGAGTGTGGCAAAGGGGGGCAGAGAAGGGGGAATGGAGAGGGGGCGGGGAAGGCAGGGCAGCGACAGTCGCACAGTCCCGCGGACGCTCTCAGGCCCACGCCCTCACTCGCTCACACCCACCCACACTCACACCCACCCGCTCCCTGGGTCCCAGGGCCCGGCTCCAGCCTGGGCGGGGGGTCTCCGGGCGGACCGGAGCGCCCTCGGGGCCCGGGGGATGCTGGCGCACAGTGCGGAGCGGAGTTGCGCGTCTCTGGTCCCTTTGTTGACAATTCCCTGAACCAACTTGAGTTTGGCCGGTTCCGCCGCGGCCCTGACGTCACGCACGGTCACGTGGCCCCGCCTCCCGCTGGATCTTTAAGTAGAAAGTAATCTATCAGGCCAGTCCTTAAAACGGGACTTTCGACTACCGGGGCTTCGGCGTCCCTGACACCCAGCCCCCTGCCCCCCCGCTACTGCCCCTGCCCGCGCCCTCCCGAGCTGCTCGGCGCCCGGCGTCCCGCGCCCGCCTGGACCGCTCCTGCGCCCCACGCCAGGGCCAGAGGCCGAGGAAGGCCGGCTAAGTGAGGGGGCGCGGCGTGGAGAACTGCCGGGGCCGGGAGTGGTAGCGAGCGCCTAGTACCGAGCGCCAGGGACGGCAGGAGTTCGCGGAGCGCGGCCGCTGGGGGCGGACGGCAGAGCCCGCGCCGCGCGATGCGGGGCCGCCGAGTGTGAGCTGAGCCGAGCGGGCCCCAAGCCACCTGCGGCCCCCTCCCCTCTCCCTGCCCCCCATCTTTCGGGGGCACTCAAACCCTCTTCTCCTGAGCTCCGCGGCAGCCCCCGACCACCCCCATCGCCCTCTGCCCCCTCCCCGCCGCCGCTACCAACCCCGAGGAGGGATGACCCTCTCCGGCGGCGGCAGCGCCAGCGACATGTCCGGCCAGACGGTGCTGACGGCCGAGGACGTGGACATCGATGTGGTGGGCGAGGGCGACGACGGGCTGGAGGAGAAGGACAGCGACGCGGGTTGCGATAGCCCCGCGGGGCCGCCGGAGCTGCGCCTGGACGAGGCGGACGAAGTGCCCCCGGCAGCACCCCATCACGGACAGCCTCAGCCGCCCCACCAGCAGCCCCTGGCATTGCCCAAGGAGGCGGCCGGAGCCGGGGCCGGACCGGGGGGCGAGGTGGGCGCGCCCGAGGCGGACGGCTGCAAGGGCGGTGTTGGCGGCGACGAGGGCGGCGCGAGCGGCGGCGGGCCCGGCGCGGGCAGTGGTTCGGCAGGAGGCCTGGCCCCGAGCAAGCCAAAGAACAGCCTGGTGAAGCCGCCCTACTCGTACATCGCGCTCATCACCATGGCCATCCTGCAGAGCCCGCAGAAGAAGCTGACCCTGAGCGGCATCTGCGAGTTCATCAGCAACCGCTTCCCCTACTACCGGGAGAAGTTCCCCGCCTGGCAGAACAGCATCCGCCACAACCTCTCACTCAACGACTGCTTCGTCAAGATCCCCCGCGAGCCGGGCAACCCGGGCAAGGGCAACTACTGGACCCTGGACCCGCAGTCCGAGGACATGTTCGACAACGGCAGCTTCCTGCGGCGCCGGAAACGCTTCAAGCGCCACCAGCAGGAGCACCTGCGCGAGCAGACGGCGCTCATGATGCAGAGCTTCGGCGCCTACAGCCTGGCGGCGGCGGCCGGCGCTGCGGGACCCTACGGCCGCCCCTACGGCCTGCACCCGGCGGCGGCGGCCGGTGCCTATTCGCACCCGGCAGCGGCGGCGGCCGCGGCGGCTGCGGCAGCGCTCCAGTACCCGTACGCGCTGCCGCCAGTGGCGCCGGTGCTGCCTCCCGCCGTGCCGCTGCTGCCCTCGGGCGAGCTGGGCCGCAAAGCGGCCGCCTTCGGCTCACAGCTCGGCCCGGGCCTGCAGCTGCAGCTCAATAGCCTGGGCGCCGCCGCGGCCGCTGCGGGCACAGCGGGCGCCGCGGGCACCACCGCGTCGCTCATCAAGTCCGAACCAAGCGCACGGCCGTCGTTCAGCATCGAGAACATCATAGGTGGGGGCCCCGCGGCTCCCGGGGGCTCGGCGGCGGGCGCTGGGGGCGCCGGCGGCACTGGGGGTTCCGGGGGCGGCAACACGGCGCAGTCATTTCTGCGGCCACCCGGGACCGTGCAGTCGGCAGCGCTCATGGCCACGCACCAACCGCTGTCGCTGAGCCGGACGACTGCCACCATCGCGCCCATCCTGAGCGTGCCGCTCTCCGGACAGTTTCTGCAGCCCGCAGCCTCGGCCGCCGCCGCTGCAGCCGCCGCCGCTCAAGCCAAATGGCCGGCGCAATAGGGACGCGCCAGTGGCCGGTACCCAGGGCCCGGCGGCGGCCTCGAGCGGCAGCTGCACCTCCAGGCTGCGCGCCCCGTCCCGAGCCCGGTCCCGGTCCCGCTGCCCAATCCTGGACTCTGCCTCTCCCCCATTTCCTTTCCCCTGAGCCCCCAACGCCTACCTTCCGCGGCCTCCACCCCCTCGCGCACACTTAAGCTGGTCGAGCAAACTCACCGCGTGCCCGCCGGGAATAGCTTTCCATACAGGTAAAACCGAAAACCGAATTTTCCAAAAATGCACCCCGACGGCGCCTGCTCTTAGTACCGTGGGGATGGGAGGGAAATTCTTTGTATATATTTGTAAAAAAATTATTGACTTTCCTTTTGGGGTTTTTATTTTTTTAAGAAAAAGCAAATTCCGTAGATTTAGAGCTCTGAACTTTCATTTTTTTTGAAGGTTCACTCTCCGAAGTTTTATCTGAGAAAAGAATGTATAGAGACGTTGGGAGATTTTAAATATAAAAAATTTTCAAAAAGGCAAAAAGTGTCATTCTATTATAAAAGTCTGTTTATATATGAATGAATATATATGGTATTCTAAATGTTATTCCATCGTGTTGTACACAACTTTGTAAATAAATTTTTAAAATGCCCAGCCTAGTGTTTTATTTAGTTGTCTGAAGTAAATGGCAAGATTTTTAAATGGTTTTTGCCTTTTCTCCTCCCCAGAAAATCAAGGAATTTCAAGTAATAACCTTTTCAAACTTTGTAGATTCATAATTTGAGTGTAAGAAAATTTTAATTGGAGAAAGGAAACAGTATGCCTAATTTTAATTGTGTTAATATTTTTCTTTTAGTTTTCACATAAAATCAGGATGTGAGTGATATCATTCATATCAACCCATTAAATCTAAATGACCAGACATTTCTGTAAAGTAAGCTGTCATTTAAAAAAAGAAACGGAAACAACAGCAGTCTTTAAATGTTTTTTTATTTTAAATGACCAGACGTGTGTCTTCCACAATGAAAACTTCCCAAATGAGAGAGTTCCTGGTCATTTCAATTATCCTTTGAAAAGTAAGTAAATTACAAACATCCCTCTTTTTAACATTTAAATCTTAGATTTTTGAAATTATTTCTCTTCATTCCTTAAGTGGACGTGGTAAATAGACCCAGCTGGTTTTAAAAATTTATGTTAAGGCATTTTACATTTTGCAGTGAGATTTTATTTATATTCATCTGATAGATAATACATAGTTTTGTTTTCATAATATTTTCAAATAAGATACCTCATTTATATGGCAATAATCAATCCACAACATAATTGGATTTCTGAAGGGTTCCTATAAATGCTTCCTCTCCCTCCAATCCGAAGCCTTTCTGAAGGCCAAGGAATGGTGGCCTTAATACCCTTTTAAAAACAGCTGAACATCACCTCTCTCCCCTTTTTTTCTTTACCTTAGGCTAGGTTAGTGTGAAATGCGAGATCGTAGGGCAGGAATGGGGAAGGTCCTCGTAGATTATTTTTAATGTGCATTTCAGCTGTTAAAAACCTTTTAAAAGAAAGTATGAAGGTAGAAATGAAACATCTTGATGTGGAAGGCTGGTTTTCACCACTATCAGCATATCCTCAAAAGGCATCAATTCTAATTATTTTGTAATTAATTTAGCTGTTACAATTACTTGTGCGAAATCGCTTTTAAAAACTGGAGCTAGTAGCAGTGCTGTCGGCTCGGCCCTGCGCGCGTCCTTTTGGTTAAACCCGGCCAGTCCCCAGTGTTGTCCACTTTGCCTCCCTGGTGGTGGAGATGCTTTCCCGTCGCGGATCCCAGCCTCATTTCTCCTCTGTCGACGTGGGCTAGGAGTTGCTTTGAAATACACTTCCTTGCAAATACCGAATCTGTTTTCCTGGTAAACCGTAAACATTATTGTGTCCTTGAGTAAACATTCCTTCGGGATCAGGGTCCTAAAATAAAACAAGCTGCCGGGGGTGAGATAGTTTAACTTGATAAACAAGAACCTGATAACCACCGCGAGAGAGGAGCAATGGTAACCTTCACCGAGAGGAGATTATGGACCACACGGTCTCCGAGCGGGTCCCTTCTAATCTCCTTTTACAAGGAAAACTAAACGGATCTAATTTTGTTTGTGTGTTGCAGCTATAAAAGTAACAAGTTGTTTCACAGTTGTGTCTGGCTAATCGGTTTTTACACAAACAGCAAATGGTACATGATTTGTGCAAACACATAGAGAGGTTATTTCTAAATTTAGCTGACACCCCCTGGGAAAAGGGAAAGGCAGGGCTTCTTGAATTCACTTTTAGCCTCAAGAAGCTGCTGATCCAAGGCTTCTAAATGACATTGGATAACAGGGGCCTCATTCCATCCCTGATCCTTTGTTACTTATAAAATTACTCGCTCATATTTCCTCGCATAGCAGCAATACCGGCCGAGCCTGCGCCAGCAGCGTGACACTCAGCCACAAGCCGCCGCCGGAGACTCGCAGGGCTTTTTCCAGCGCTACATTTATTAGGCGGCGGGGTGAACAGGAGAGACCTGCCGGCAACTTTCCTTCCAGCCAATTCTTACCCTTGAACGACGGCCTAGAGATGGTCCCCTTCCTTTATGTCGTGGAGGGCAGGAAACTCTCGGACCCAGACCCCCAACCTGCCAGCGGTTGTTTAAAGTCCTGGTAGATGCCAGGAAGATGGGCCCGACCGTCGCACCCTCAAAAACTCTTTGTGGTTTAAGCTTTTTAAACCTCGAAGATTTAGCACAGAAGGGGAAATGCAAATATCATAGATAATGATCAGAAGCACTTAGTGGTAGGGCGGGGGGAAGCCTGAAACCCTTGTTCGATGTTATGGAACTCAGGCATCTGCGACAAACGACACTGGAAACAGCTCTCTCGTTGAGATTTAAAGGCAACTCTACTGATATCCACTTTTTATTCCACTTAACAAAAGAAAACTAAAGGAAGGGAGGGCAGATTTATTTGCAATAAAAGGAGGAAGCGGGTTGATTTTTATGGGGAAGATTTTAGCTTTCGGCTACACACGCATTTAGACGTTTCTACTTTCTCTAGCACTTATTCCTAGAAAAATCAATCCAGCCCTGAGGCCTGTGGCCCCTACAGTGTTCCCAGGACCAAGTTCTGAGTGGGACCGCCCGCATCTAGTCCCTCCGGAAGGTGGATCTGGATGTCCAGGGAAAGGCGAACGAAGAGTAGAGCAAAACATGTGCGGGCTGAGGGCTCTCGATGCGATGGCAGATGTGGCCTGTAGGGGGCGACGAGCAGACGGAAGACTTCGCGGTTTGTCTGGAAGGGTCCAGCCCCAGCCCCGAAGGCCTCTCCTTCCCTCCCACGCTCTGAGCCTCCTGACATCCTTGCTTATTCTCAGGCCCCGTACGCCTAGGTCGAATCTCGAGAAGCTGTTTTCCTCCTCTCCTCCGCCTGTGTCCTGGGAGGAACAGAGTCCCAAGAGGAGTTTGTCCTAAAGATTGGGAGGCAATAAAGTTTAGTGATGAGGAAACATTGACTTGGAAGCAATTAAGAGTTATATTTGAGGTTATTTATTTCACGTGGTTTATAGGGTGAGTCTTGGTAGTAAGGAGAACATCAAAGGCTGATATGTGTGTGAGAGAGGTGGGTATTTTTAACTTGAGTCCCTTGAGAAACTGTCCTGAGGGGTATGTGATCTTTCAGATCTTTCTTTCAGAAAGTGTGTTCCAGAGCCTTATGTCCCCCGACTCCACCTGTGTCCCCGGTGGTGCAAGCTGCAAAATAAAGTAGTGGAGGTAGGAGGTTAAAGGGCATTCTGAAAGTGCCAGGCTGAGCTTTGTGGGGGGCCGTCTGTTTCAAGGGAGGAGGCAACAGGAAGAAGCAGGATGAGAAAGGCCTTGCAGAAGGCGTTCCAACAGGGATTAGGCATTTCCTAACTGTGACTTTGGACAAGCTGCTTGGTTTCTTTGCATGTCTGCATTTCCTCGACTCTACAGTGAGAATGAGTCTGCCTGTCACCCGGGCTTGCAGAATTAGGTGAATTGGTGTCAGTGAAAAATGTCTTTCATTTTTCTGGGGGCATGTAGAGTTTGGGGGCATGTAGAGTTTGATTTTTAATGGCCTCTGCACGAAGAAACAACTGTTCTAAGCACTGGTACACTACCAAATATGTTGACTTGATTTTGAACAATTTGATTTTAGGTATGAAAGGTGGATTTTTCTAAGAGGAGTTGCAGAACCCATCCCAGGAAACTCCCACCTCAGAAAGGGCTTTTAAAAGGTGGAGCCTCCTCCTGGTCTGTAGCCGTTTTACCATGCCTGCGGAGAAGCCCTCGGTGCCCACCCATCCTTCCACCTGCACCCCCAGCTCCAGGGGCAGGGCATACCTCTCTCTTCTCTCTGGCAGAGCGGCCTACTCTGCTGTTTGCCCCTATGCTTCCACTATCCGAGGCAAGTGGGGAAACCTGAGTCCACTGCTGACAGACACCCATTAGTGCAAGATGTGGCCTGGGAGGCGAATTAAAGGTAACCAGATCCCAATCCCACTTAAAAGACCACCCTCCCCTTGCTGCCCTCCAACAGTTGGCAGAGTTACACCCAGAGCCAACTACTCTCTTCACCACTCCCCCTCCCCTTGCCCTCTGAGGAATGTACAAGCCATTCTTTGCTCCCTGGGGTACACAAAACAAAATTTGAAAATAAATGTAAAACCAGCCAGGGTGTCTGTAAGAAAGCATAACCATCTCATTTTTATTTCCTGAAGTGCTGTCATATATTAGAATTTTCCTAAATGCAGAATTAAATTGGTCCCCTCCCCCATTTTAACATAAAACTGCTACCTAAGGCTCTTCTCCAGATGATCTGTGCTTTTGCACACAGCTCAGTCCCATCAGGGGCGAGGTGGGGAAGAAGAGGGACACCTTCACTCTCTTGCCTGAGTCCTCTGGTGCTGAAGAATATCGGCATTAGAAGTGGCCTCCGGGGTCACCCTGGCCCTCTTTTCACACAGGCCCACCCAGAAGGTTCTGGGACTTACCCAGGGTCACTCAGCAGCCCAAGTGCAAGCTATGAAAGTACTCGGAGGAGGAAAAAGTGTGCTTTACCCAGCAAGAAGGCGCCACTTGAGGAAACAAAAACAGCAGACTCTGGGGCAAGGAAGATTGGGGAGGGTTGAGAGAAGGGAAGGACAGACACAGACGCGCCAGGCCGATGGAACTCAGCTCCGGGAAGGCTGTGGACCGGGACCCTGGGGCTTCCCGCGGCCTGGGCGCCTCTAGTCCCGCGATGGGCGGTTCTGCTGGGACCGACGGCCCCATTTCCTTCTTGCCTCATGATTTGGAAGGGAGGAAAGAAGGCGGGAACTGCAGGCCCGAAGCTCCCCTCGCCCAGCGGCCCAATCACAGTGCTGTCGGCCCAACCACAGTGCTTGGGATCGGTCCCCAAGGGCGCCCCCAACCCTCTGCCCACGCCAAGATCACCCCCGTGCTAACCTCGAGGGCTCGGCCTGCGGGACTCCAGCTGCCCCTGCCTGGAGGGAGGGAAGGGAGAAGAGAATACGAATTAATTACGAAGGAAACCCAGGTGTGAAAGGCACCCTCCGCGGAGCTGGGCGTGCAGCGGAGCGCGCGGTGGGGCCTCTGCTCCCGTCCCA